TGGCATTTAATGTATACCTGAGTGCTTTGATGGCCGCCTCCTGACCCATGACCTGAGATGCGGCCACATTTGGCATGAGATCCCATTGGGAAACGTGGGAACAGGCGTTGTGTCGGAACAATAGGGTTACGGATTCACAATTAACGACTTCCCAGTCGTAATTATGTTGAAGCCATTTGTTAGCCACTTCTAGTAATATTCTGCAAATAAAAATAAATAAATAAAAATCCATTGCATTTGAACCTAATTTACTCTTCCTGTTAATTATTCATCACGATTTGCGCTATAATTATAATTATATAACAATTTTATTATTTCCCAATTAAGAAGAATTGAGTATTCTTTCTAAGAATCGTATCGATATTTCTATGTAAGTAATAAATTCTGTAATTATTTCAATGTTTTCTTTTATATTCAGTCATTTATTACTAGAAACTTAACATTAGATTTGAATTGAGCACAAAAATTTGTACTAAACCGTATAAAACAGTTAATGTAATAAATTAGTTCATGTATTCAATTTTGGTATTAAATGGATATATAATTACTTTCATATTTTCCATACGGATTCTATACATGCATTTCAAGTGCATTACATTATTAAATCATTTCATTTCTTCTTAATAATGGCCTCATTTTAATGACATTTATTGGTAATAATTAGTACTATTTATTTGTCACAATAGATTCAAATACATTTTGAAAGTCATTGATGGATTAGTTTATTACAATAAATTTATTAGCAAATTTGGTTAATTAATTTCAAGAATATTTCATGATAATAATTGAAGATTTGTATTTTTTGTGCAATTTGTTGTAAATCTAATGCTTCGGTATTTATTATAACAAACCTCAACATTAAACATTAATTCTGATACTTTTGAGACATTAGTTTTTATTTTGTAATTTTTAGAAAATAAAACTTAATTTTTAATTAAATTTAATATGAATAAAACAAAGTTAGGAACATCTCAAATGTATTATTTTTATATTAATATAAGGTTTGAACGGATATTATAATTTAAAACCGAATCACTTAATACAGAATCAATTATTCCCTATTTTAAAAAATAACGGGTTTATATGATTCGGGGTTAAGTCGTTCGGGAGTTTGTGTTTCGGGATTTTGTGAGCCGTGAAAGCGTCAATAATATATGGCTTATATACAAGATATAAGCGATTATTTGAAAAAACTATTTATTTATTTTGAGTGAATCTCTATTTCAACAAAAACGTGCGGCGAATAAATGGTGACTTAGATTTGGCCCAAAAATATGCAATATTTCAGACAAAACAAACTGCTTTCCTATTTAATTGATTGTGTTTCTCATACTAATGGCATTTAATTTATATCATTAACTTTATATTCGTCACCACTTTTTTAATGGATTGAAATTTCTGAAAACTATGTTTCATATAATCGTCCGATCGCTGAATAGGAGCCTAAATGATAAGAGTCTACAAAATAATCCATTTTATTACTGCATATAATTTACCGAAATAATTACTAAAAATAATATCATATAAATAATATTATATAATTTCCAAAATAAAAAATTATAATAATTAAATTGAATGTTTATTTTTATAACAATTACTTGCATTTAAATTGATTCACTACAAAATCTACTGAACATACAGAATATTCTACACAGTTTCCTAAAACATATCATTTATAATAATTAGCTGGTATTAAATTACAATACAAAATATAGTAAAAATTACCTGAACGGGTGATAAAAGATTTTGTCCTTTTTATCCCTGTGCGTAACCGAAGGCACAAAATCAACAAAAGTTAGTTTAGCGTCAGGGGGTATGTCTCGGGCGTAGATCCGGGGCGGCTCTGGCGGTCGGTTCCGCTCTCCCTTACATTCGCGTAGAAAACTGGCCAAAGCCATGACCACAACCTCCTCTACCCCCGCAACCGATCGGCCACTAAATCACACAACACTTGTTATAACACAACAACAACTGGTGGCCAACTCTTAGCCCCAACCGATCAAACACTGCAAACACTGTCTATGAATTGACAAATCATTTTTCATTATAAAAAACTGAATGTAAAATCTCTTGTAATAACTGATGTGTTGTATTGGTCTTAGCGTTGGATGTGTTGCATCACATCGACGTCTAGTGCTGTAATGACAGTACAGTTTGAGAGTTGTGTTAGACTTTTGTAAAACCACTGTTTGGCTGAAACACTATATTTCATGTGAATATCGATCTTTCGGAAGGAATTTTTGTGTATATTTTGTTGATATGATTGTTGTTGTATTTGCCGTCCGACTCAGTTTGCGTTCTCTCTCTCTCTCTCTCTCTCTCTCTCTCTCTCTCCACTCCTTTATCAATACAATTAAATTAAATTCAACTTTTTATACTACTCTTTGACCACTATTTGCACAATTTGTTGATTACATTGTTTATCTCAACTGTCGGTTAAATAAAATTAATTATTAGTTTAATAATAGACTGTCTAAAGAATATATTCCAATAAAATAGTAGATAAAAAGTTTGTGCAGTTTGTGTTGTTTGTGCAATTTGTACATGGCACTATAATAAATCTAATTTGTATATTCAATAAACTGAATAATGTTTAGCAAATCCAAACAGTTTTACAATTCACTCGATAATAATATATCACAATTTAAAGTCACAAATATATGAATTTTGTTAAATAAATCACATCTCAAGTGTCAGATTATATTTGCAAATAAATTAAATAATTTATAAACAAGTTTTTTGGTCTCATATCAGAGCAAAACAAAAAAATATATAAAATTGATTTTCAAACCATATTATATATGGAATCGAAAGTATATAATATATGACCAAAAAAATGTTGCATTGATTTTGCTTTTGATATACACTGTATAAGTATATTATACCGCAAAGTACAGTGAAGTCGCCCGAGTCTCAACATTAAAGATAAAAGCCACTGAAAAAAGTGTTTGAATTGAAATTTATTATATATATTACAGAGGAATAGACATATATTCTGAAAGTTTTATTTTTAAAAATTTGAATGCATTTCACATTTAATTTTTCAGACAATTTTTATACACATTTAACTTAAAAGTTTATACACAACTGCGAGCACTGAATTATAAAACATATATACATTTCCATCAAAATCTATTTTAATGTTAAAATATTTTGGACGAAGTTTTTATCATATCTTTATTTATTTATTTACCCAAAACTGTTTTAATATATACTATACTATTCTGTCAACTATT